TTGTTTATTTCGACATCGAGGAAAGAAAATCTAAGTGATATCGGACGTCTTCCAAGATTGTCTGTCGATCATGACCGATTGCCGTTACACCACGATGAAGAGATAGCCAAGGTGGTCACTGATTCACTGTATATAATAAAAGCTAAACTTTGGTTTGGAGGTCGGAGTGCATCGGATAGGAGTGTATCACGTATTCTAACCGCGCGATTGCGTTCTTCCTCCCGCTCCGCTCCAAATGAATGACAATGTGTGAGCGCCCGCGACGACTTTACTTTGACAAAAATACATATGACTGAGAAAATACAATAAAAAAGAATACACCCAGAAGTAATCTCAATAGTGGCCAACTTCTACGATTAATATAACATTTCAACGACAGGTCCGCACTGTTTTCTTTCAAAATCTTTCATTTTGTGCAAAAACGCGTCGTAATGTATTTCTCGCGTTAGTCATGGTTTTTTGTCTTTTTTTTTTAAGTTTTCTGTATAATACTGCATTTGTTTAGTTAAAAATGCGATAAATATTAACGGAGACACATTTATAAAATAATTGTGAATCATATTTCTTTAAGAGCATACATATGCTTTCTAAAAATAGTTGATCTTACCTGTTGCTATAGATGCTCACTGTGTTCTTATTTTGTAACGAAGCAATGATAGATATCTGTCATTTCTATGCAACAGTTTAGCATGTATCTAATACTCATTATCTTTCTGTTTTCAGCATATTATTCTGCAAAAGTATTAAAGAATGGCGGAGGAGGAAAAAGCTGTTCCCTCATCTATGACTCAGTGTTATGAAAATTATATTATAGTTGATGTTGGTGCCAATTTAACAAATAAGAAGTATAGTCGAGATTTGGATAGTGTAATACAAAGAGCAAAGGATGCTGGTGTACAAAAGATTATGGTAACCGGTGCTAGCATTCGTTCCAGTAAAGAAGCACTAAGGCTGACAAGAATATATCCTGGAACGCTTTACTCAACTGCTGGTGTACATCCGCACGATGCCAAGTCTTGGGAGGAACCAAATACCTTGCAAGAATTAGAAGGTATAGCCAGTAATCCAGAATGCGTTGCGATTGGAGAATGTGGCTTAGACTACAGCCGTGATTTCTCAGCTCCGGAGGCACAACGTATTGTATTTCACAAGCAAATAGAATTAGCCTGTACGTTAAATAAGCCACTAGTAATACATGAAAGAGGTGCACAGAAAGATGTGTTAAAAGTTCTTGACCAATATAAGAATCGTCTGCCGCCTATTCTGATTCACTCCTTTATCGGCACTGCGGAAGAGGCACAGATTTATTTGGATCAAGGCTTTTATCTAGGCATCACAGGCTATCTGTGCAAGGACAAATCCGATAGTGGAGTAAGACAGTTGCTAGAGGGAGGACGAGCGCCATTAGATAAGATTCTAGTGGAAACCGACGCGCCATTTATGTATCCAAATACCAGAGCCAGTAAATTACCTGTACACGTAAAGGATGCTTTAACCGAACGGTCTATGACATTTCTTCATCGTTACTGCACTTTCCAACGTAACGAACCATGTGCCTTGCCAGCAATCGTGGAAATGGTAGCAGCGTTTATGCGAATCACACCAGAACAAGTTGCGCTCGCTACCGCTTTTAACGCTCTAAAATTATTTGGTTTGAATCAATGATAACAATACTTGGATTTCAGAGTCTGAGTTGTGCATAAGATAGGTGCTAATAGATACTATATGACAATTAAATGATATTTTTAAATAATAAGCATAAAGCTTTATCTGAAGCCATAACATATTTTTTTGAGATATATAAATTCAAAGTTTTTTGATGCCAAATCAAATTAAATATTATTTCTTTCTTTAAATCCGAATCAAATTGAATCCACAACTTTTCACCCAAATTGAATTGAATTACATCAAATCGAATTATTGAAATATAACTTTTACAATATAATTATTATTAAGTTGTATTGTAATACATAGATAAATAATTTTTATGTAAAAAAATATTGATACAAATTCACTTTGAATCTTTAAGATCTAGTGGTACATTATGTACTAGTAAAAAAAATATTGTACATCTTTATTAAATATCAAGTTATTCAGTTTAATTAGAACTTATTAAAAAAAATTGTTTATTATACAAGATATTTTAATCAATCCCTGCAACTTTCTTCAAAATTATTGATAATGTAAAAAAATATTTTACTTAAAAGTGAAATTGTTTCGAGAGCCATATATTTTAGTCGCGTTTTTTTCTAGTTAAGATGATGCCTGGACCTGCCTATATTGATAAAATTAGCGTGTTTGACGTTTTCGTTTCTGTCTAATTTCCTCATAATAGTTTTGCAAAATAAAAATTTCTTCTCCACAATTTAAATATTCAGGCTAATGTATCTGTCCCTGGTATATTTTGTGTCCAAAGCTGGAAAAAATATGAAATTACAGATTTCTTTATCCATTTAACCTTAGTGTGGCGATCAACGCTGAAGATAAAAATGTTTTCATCGGTAGTTTCATCGCTAGTTTCATCGGCGACTCCAGCATCTCCTTAAAGGCGTCAAAGAAATATAAAATTTACTTTTACTTTTTTGTGAAATGGAATCATATAATTTCTTTCACGTAATATAATTTTTCTAACTATTCTATATATTGGTTTTGGGAGTCTTTTTACATTTATGTAAAATAAATATATTTTACAATGTATTCGTTAAAAATTAGCGAAATTTAAATTTAAAACAAAATATCCTCTCGAAACGATACTACTTTTATCTAAAATATTTTTTTGTATTATCAAAAAAATGTTAAATTATAGTTTATCGAGCATAATTTTCAAATTTTTCATATTTTATTGATAGGAAATATAAATAGTATATGAAGAAATTGTATTGATTGACTTATGGATGCGAGATAATAGGAGAATGCTGTTAGCCTTATACATCCTCGGTGCCTAGTAATTTTCTGATGCATTACGAATGAGAATATTTTATTTAAAATTAGCCAATGTAGCGATGTGCAATCGGATCCCTCTAATCATAATTATAATATTACTTAGTAATATATTACAATCTATTTATTCAAGGTTTTTCTATATTAAAAAACTTTAATTTTCAAAGAATTAAAAGAAAAAGAAGGGAGAAGAGAGATAGGAGAGGGGGAAAGAGAGAAAATACGCATTTAAGAAATTTAAAAAATGGGTTCATTATGAGTTATCTAGTTAAAAACTGTACACATATGTTATTCTTTTCTATTTTTTAAGATATTTCCTATGTTACAAGTTTATCTTAAACAAGGTGTAATTAAAATAAATATACATGGCAGACAATATTTATAATTATAAATACAGTAAAGTTTAAAATTATCTTATTATGTATGTCAGCATAATTTTTGGACTATAATAAACATTTTTTGTATAAATTGTTTTATCTACATACTATCTATATTATTTTTCATAAACGAATAACAAATTATCTTATTGCATGTATATTTCAATTGTTTGTATAATAGTACATTATGTAGACTCTCTGACATGGAGTTTGAATTACAAATTGAACAAAATTAATTCTTAGATTTTTTTTTGTCTTCGAAAATGAATCCGTAAATGAAATTATTCTATCACATCACTTTTGTGAAAAAATTGAAAAAAAATCTAAATATGCCAAAAGTGGCATTTTTTAATACTTTTGAGCTGAAGAAACTCAAAAATCGTGACATAATAGTAATTTCATATACGAATTCGTTATTAGCAACAAAAAATTTATAAAATTGTGTGCCGTTTTTATTGACTGTTTTATGTAAGAAACAAAAAATCCATAGATAGATATATATATATATATATATATACACAGGGTTGGGGGGGGAGCATTTAAAACAAGTCACCTGAATAACTTGCTTGTTTTTAACAATAGAAGAAAGTGTCAAACAAAAGTTGCTTAGTTTCGAGGGGCCTTTCTCTCTCTAGCTACGTAAATAAAAATCCATCTCCGTTTCCCCTTGAAAAGGAGTGGGGAGTAACATTAAAATTTCAAATGGGACCCCCCGTAAAATGTTATATATTTGGATTCTACAGGGAAAAACAAGTAAAGTTTGTCTGAAATATTTCTATGGAAAATGCTCCTATCAAAAGTTATAAACATTTAAACTTTTATCATTTTATTCACGGTTGAACTCCATTGACATAAAGTTGTGTTCACGATATAATGAAAACGAAAACGCTCTTCATGTTAATTAAAAGAAACATAAATATACACATTTATCGGGAAACTTAAATACAGATCTACTATATATGTATTTAGTTATTTTTGAATGTAGTACTCTTTTAAATGAGATATTTCGTGACAGATGAATAGGTCGAGGAGGTCCTGTTCAATGGCCCCCTCTTTCGTCACATCTCGACCATTTACGACGAAAGAAGACTTAAAACGAAGAATACGTATTGCTTGCACTAAGGTGACTCCAGAAATGTTGTTTAGAGTTAGGCAAAGTTTTGTAAAAAGAATTAATCAGCGTTTAGATGTTAATGGTCAACAGTTCGAACATTTAATAAAATGTAAAAAAACAGAAAAACTACGAGTTTTATTTAATTATCATTAATTTCAATACACTCTACATTAAAGTTTAAATGTTCGTAACTTTTGATAGGAGCATTTTCCAAAGAAATGTTGCGAACAAAGTTTATTTGTTTTTCTCCGTAGAATCCAAATATGTAACATTTTACAGGGGGTACCATTTGAAACTTTGAAGTTAAATAACTTTATCATGTCACGTTTTTAAGACACTTCAGCTCAAAAGTATCTAAAAATGCTATTTTCAGTTCTTTTAGGTTCAATTTTCTCAAAAACGTAACGTAACAATAATTCCATTTATGGATTAATTTTTAACGACAAAAATTTTATAAGAATTATTTTATCCTGTTCGTGTGATCTAGAAAAAAAATTTTAATTTGTGAACAATGTAATTAATACATATATCATCACATTGATATTTAAAATATATCATTCAGAGTATATTCGAAAATTCTACGTATTTTCTTGTTGATGATAAAATATATTTTATTTTGTTAAGAATGAGTCGTCTTCGCATTTTAGCCTTATAGCTCGCATCAGATATGGAAGTCTTTCGTATTCCGGTAGTTTCATCCAAGAACTAGAATTTATTGCAATTGCATTTGTTTTCATTAATGCTTCAACGGATTTTATTTTTAACGACCATGTACTTTTTAGTCTTTGAGAGTTCACAGCATATGCAGCATCAGGTAAATTGAAGATAAGTATCCTAAGATGCATATACATTAGTAACAAACATAAAAAATCAATTGTAATATATAAATAAACCGTATGTGTTCTTACATCTGACTTTCGCTTGGAGTTTGTATATCTTCAATGTACGTTATGTTAGTTGCATTAGACGTATCTGTATTAATTGCAACAGGATATCCTCCTTTTCTCATTACAACAACGTGATCTACAATGATAAAATTTTAGATAAACTTTAAATTGCTAATTGCAGTTTAAAAAATTATATATAACAAAATTAATGAGACATGAAAAATTATTAAAGATAATGTAAGATAACCAATTACACAAGTCTACAAACGAATTTTTTTATCCAGCAACGACAGTATGTATCCTGAAGACTTTTGGTATAAGATTTTTTTATAGATTTTTTTCATGCTAAATTCAAACTTGTAGCCCATATTTCTTGACAACCTGATGTGATAGAGCAATTTGAGCTACGGATTTGGTTTCAGTATGTTAAAAATATTAGAATTACATGCTGCTGTTTCTGGGTCAAAATTCATGTCTGCGTATAATTCACTTAATAATTATTAAATTGTATTAGCATTTTGAATAATTATCAATTTATGGAAAATTAACATATTATTCAAAGAATAAATATTTTTAAGTTGACACAAAATTGATAACTCTCAAATTGCCCTTTACTTTATCCTTTTATTGTTTTGACACAAAATATTTTTTCTTCCGTAAGAATATAATATAGAATATAAACTAAGTTCTCATCGTCAGGCTGTGTGGCTCTACGGCAAGACGGTTGCTTGCTAATATGGACGAATCGAGGCCTCGGTTTAAGTCCCGGCACCGGCGGAGCGCCCGACATTTTCAAGATGTGTTTCTTACAATAAAGAAAATTTTATTCTTTAATAACTTACCAATGTCATGCCCAAGTTTTGTCTTCATGTTATTATGAATATACTGAGGACCACCTAATGCTAATTCTAATGCCGTTTTTAAAGAAAATGTGGGAAGTATAGGACTAAGCAACGTTTTGTCTATGTTTACAGCATGTTCAAGTATATCTTGCGATGGCCATGGTCCATTATACATAGGATACAGCGTCTTAATACTTTGATATAAAAGTAATAACTCTCTCATATGAATATTCTTCATTGGTTCATTAGTTTTTATAATCTGATAAAAGACTTTGCTGATTAAACTTGGACTATAACAATCTAATGCAATCAAATGTAAAGCAAATTTGATCATAGATCTGTTAAAAATCTTATTTTCCACTTTATTCGCCAATATTGCATCTCGTATAATATCCCAAAATACTGGCTTATAATCAGCATTAATTAATCCTTCTAAGAAAATAGATATTCTATAATATGATGCGTTTTTTAGTAAATTTGGCTGCTCAAAGCATTTTGCTGCTAAATATTCTAGAAAAGGTATATGAGCGTAATTTAGCTCATTTAAACGTTTCAGCAGATAGATACTGCTGTCAAAAGAAATTTCTGCAGACAATGCTGAATTGATAAAAGCATCCACCAGTGCTTCATTGTAAAACCTGCATCCATATTCCTTACTACAACAAATAATAATATAAATGTCAATATTTTATTTTCACAATGTCAAATACTAATACATATAAGAATCTTATAAAGATGACATACTTCCTTGCAGTGACCAGCACTAATTTATGTAGCGCCCTTATTATCTCTGGAATAGTTAATTGTTTTGAATCATTTATTAAAATCTTTTGAATATTAAATAACAATTCAAAAGCCATCGGAGATGGATAAGAGATAATACATAAGCTACAAAATATAGACCAAGCCGTTTGTATATCCAGTTCATTTTCAAATTTTTGTAATGACTTCAGTATTACATTTTGTATTTTTGGATTATTAATACCATTTTCACATATAAATCTTAATGACTGTGTCAAAATAAAAATATTATCTGGATCCAATTTTGTAGGTAACTGGGCTTCAAAAACGACAGGTAATGCTATTAATAAAGCATCTCTTAATGGTGTATTATCCATTTTCTTTAATAATATAGTTATATTGATTATATCCTGAATCGATATCTCATTTACATTTGCACGAATCATTTGCAATAATGACTGAGTTAAAACACAGCTGGCTGGAATCTTAAAATACGTCAATATTCTCAGACTAGTAATAATTTCATTGGTTTTCATAAGTCTAATGTTTCTATTTAACACTTCGCATAGGCGCATAAAGCCTATATGTTGCTTAATATTTTGCAAATCCTCTTCTGTGTTTTTAGAAGCTTTAAATAATGTAAATATTGTGTCAATAGCATCGTGTACAGTCATATTTGTATAATTACTTGCTGCCTTCTCCAATATTTCCATAGATTTGTACAACGGCTTGATATCAGTGGATACATAGTTAAATTTTTCTGTTGGTAATACACAATCTTCCAGCTGTGTATGATCTGAAAAACACATACGTTCTGTTGAAGTATATCATGTTTATACAAATATATGTAAAATATTTGATTACCTGTCAAACTGGTACTATAAACTCGTGATACTTTTTGTATCGTTTGTAATGGTATTATATAATTCGATAAGACTGTCCAATTGCGTGTTATTGGATACAATCGTAGAAATCCCTTTAAAGTCCCATTCATTCTACTGATAAACAAAACTATTATCGCGACATATAATTATATTAAAATTAAAAAATATTAATTATGTAGTATGGTACTTTTTTTTTAAATGATCAATTTTGTAAAAATGTCTCCAAATATGATATAGTTAATGTATACCAATATTGGTTAATACACTAATAATCAATACTGAGCTAATGTAGATCATACATGTATAAATATGCAGTAAAGTACACATGCATATTGCTATATGAATACAATAAGTTTTGCATTTAATTAATATATGGTAATGTTGGAAAAAAATGAACAGTGAGAAAGAGATATTTGCTTAGCAAAAACTTCCGTGATTATTTCCTATATATAATTTTTATGTAACAAAAAAAAACGAAAAAAAGGAGATGATAGATAACATCTTCAAATAGAAGTAGATTAATATTCTATTATATAATATACTTTAATGATTTATACTCTATTATTTAACCTCTACTTATTATTCTTAATTATTTCAATTTTAATGCATATTACTATTTAAATATAATTTAAATAAACTTTTATCTTAAAAGAAGTAGCTGTACAAGTAGCTTATTTGACGAAAAAATCTCATAAATATTATGAAACTTTTTTATCGTAGTTTTTAAATGTTAGGTGTACAAATTAATCCGTTTCTTGTGTTCAAAAATGCATTTATTTCAAAACAAAATGAATGAACAGATTAATTAAAGTATTGTCCATCGCTGGCTACTACTTTTTCCCATCTCTCAGGCAATTTTCGAATTCCGTCTCGAAAAAATGACTCGTCTTTGGAGGTGATCATCTTTTGGAAAACGGACCGAACTAATTTGTACTCCCAATATAAAAACTATTTTTTTTCAGACATAATAATACAAATTTAATAATGAACTTACGAAAAAAATATTTTAAAAAGTTTGAAAAATTCTACAGACTGAATCTGATTTTGAAATTCTATTAAATAAAATTATCCTAAATGGAAAATTTTTCTTGATTTGTAATGAATAATGATGAAATATTATTGAAATTATAATCTTTTATAACATAACTTTGTACGTTAAGGCATTTGTGATGCCGTATGTATTAATTATGAATTAACAACCGGTGTATAATCTTGAATAGAAAATAAAGGTTAGAAACACTTAAATGTCGTTTATGTACTTACGCAGTTGCTAGTCTCTATTTTATACTTGGGAAAATTACGAACAATACTAGCGACGTTACAAATACAACACAGTTGATTAACTAGATAATAATTTCTTATTTTTAAATTATTCATAAACATGCTTCAAATATACGTATTTATAGTATATACTAGTATATACTGAGATACTGAAATACTTAGCTGCGTTCGGTAATAGCAAATCTGAGGTGTCGGAGTGCTCTTATATTATAGCATATGTCACGTGCACTATAGAAAAAGAGCACTCCGATGCCTCAGATTTAAGCGGGGAGCACAGACTTTTGCATAACGCATAAAGCATGTGCATAAGGAATTTCATTGGTCCATTTTCTTATGCATGAGTCAATGGACCAATCAAATTCTTTATGTATATGAGCTGCGTTCGGCAATGCAAATCTGAGGCATCGGAGTGCTCTTTTTCTATAGTGCACGTGACATATGCTATAATATAAGAGCACTCCGACACCTCAGATTTGCAATTACCGAACGCAGC